TGTTGTCTGTTTTGTAAAGGACAGGTTTTGAACTCTGACATATAAGCAACAACAACATACAGCTCACTCACAAGCCTGGTGTCTGTTTTGTAAAGGACAGGTTTTGAACTCTGACGTGAGCAACATGAACACAGCATAATAGCGCTCGTAGTGTCTATTTTTTTAAAGACAAGTTTGAAACTTTGGCATGAGCAACAACAACATACACAGCACACTGTCGAGCCTGGTGTCTGTTTTGTAAAGGACAGGTTTTGAACTTTGGCGTGAGCAATAACGCACAACACAACTAACTCACGGGTGTGGCTGACGGGGTGTACAATAACAACAGACAAAGGTGTCGCGAACGATTGTAATTACAGTTGACTCCACTTGCGTTGAACTTGCTTGAGTTGATCTTCAGTTATCTTTTTCTCGGATTCCAGCAACTTTTCTTCTTTACAGATCCCAACGATTAATTAAGTTGAACTTGGGATGGTGGGTGGTTGGCGGGTGCTCTGGTGTGGTTTGCTTCTTCTTTCCTTTCAAACATCTATCATCCTTTTCTCCCCTTCTTCTCTTTTGTGTTTGTTACTCTCTTGTAACACCTTCTGGCGCTCATATGACCTTATGCAATTGCGAGCGCCGTAAAACCTCTACAAGATCTAAATCTAAAACAGAACTTGGGATGAGTTGATCTGTTTTTCACTCTCCTGATATCAACTCATCCGTAGTCGATTGTAGTAGCATCACAGTCACATGACACTTGACACCGAGCTGGGGCTGTTGGCGTGCTGGAAAAAACCCTTGTGGTGGTTTGGTTTTAGTAAGATTTTACGGCGCTCGCAACTGCATACGGTCATGAGCGCCAAGGGGTGGATGTCAACTGAGAAGTTCAAAAGGGGAATCAGGCTCACCTCTCTTGCTTCAACGGCACGAAGTCTGTTTTTATACTATCAAGGCACCCCGGAAATAGCGGGTCACATGAGTGTGACAAACATACAAAAGAAGTACAGAAAAAAATGACGATAGTGAGGATAAGGAAAGAAAAAGCAGTAGTTCCCTGTTGCAGTTCAAACACAGTTGTGAGCATGACATTGTTGAATCAGCCCATTTACAATTTACAATCTACGATGAGTTGATCATTTTTTCACTTTTCTGACATCAACTCATCCGTAGTCGATTGTTGTAGCATCACAGTCACATGGGACCTTGTCGGGGCGGCTCGCGCGTTGGAAAAAAACACCTTGTGGTGGTTTAGTTTTAGTAAGGCTTTATGGCGCTCGCAACTGCATAAGGTCATATGAATGCCAAGGGGTGGATGTCAACGGAGAAGTCCAAACAGGGAATCCGGCTTACTCTGCTCACCTCTCTAGCCTCAACAGCACAAAGTCTGTTTCGACTATCAAGTCTTCTACTTCTTTTGTATGTTTGTCACACTCTAAATGATCCGCTATTTCCGGGGTGCCTTGGCAATTGAAGCAGACTTTGTGCTGTTGAAGCCAGAGAGGTGAGCAGAGTAAGTCTGATTCCCTGTGAGGACTTCTCTGTTGACATCCACCCCTTGACGCTCATTTGACCTTATACAGTTGCGAGCGCCGTAAAACCTCCACTAGAACTATAACAAACTTGCACCCCGGAAATAGCGGGTCATATGAGTGTGACAAACATACAAAAGAGGTAGAGAAAAAACGACGATGGTGAGGATTAGGAAAAAAAACCCCAGCAGTTCTTTGTACATTGTTGCAGTTCAGGCACATTTATGAGCATGACATTGATGAATCAGCCCATTTACAATTTACAATCTACGATGAGTTGATCATTTTTTCACGCTCCTGACATAAACTCATCCCTAGTCGATTGTAGTAGTATTAGCATCACAGTCACATGAGACCTTGTCGGGGCGGCTCACGCGTTGGAAAAAACCTTTTGTGGGGCAGCGTGGTGGAATCAGGCTCTCGTCAATTTTTGGGCATGTAGAGTTATTGGTATCATCTTAAAGCTTGTTCACTTGTCTTTATTTGGATGCAAAAAAATATCCATTTATCTTGAATACATGTCGAGATATTTGCAAAAGGAGGTGGGGGTCACCTGTTTTCAGAGGTAAAATTAGTGAGATAATG